CATGACAAGTTTGGCACTTCAAATACTACAGATCCCCTGAGGGTCAAAGAGCTGTGAGAGACTGCTTCTGCAGTCAAAGTGGAAAGCACAGCCTCTGCTTAAACCGATTAAATACAGCCTCTGTCAGAGGCAGTTGTTTTACCACTCCATAGACAACTAGAATGCCTTCTAGAAATGTACTCATGGCATCTAGCTCTGTTTCTTTGAAGAAAAGACTATAAGACTTGATAGCGTTCTGTGAAGTATGGACTGGCTACATAGCCCGGGCCTCTAATCCAGCACTTTAGAGGTAAATGTACAAAGACTGAGAGTTGAAGACTAACCTTGGCTACACAGGGACACCCTGTTTTCAAAAGAAAAATGGCATGTGAAAGAACTGATATAAAATATTATTTGGATGTCAGAGCTCATCAGGTAACACAATTTATAGTTTTAGAAGAGTGTGGTAGTCAGGGTTTCTATTGCTGTAATAAACACCATGACCAAAAGCAACTTGGGAAGGAGCCAGTTTCTTTCATCCTAAGACTGGTAAGTCATAATTCCATCACTGAGGGACGTAAAGGTAGAAACCTGAAGACAGGAATTGAAACAAATGCCATGGAGGAGCGCTGCTTACTAGCTTTCTCCTTGTGGCTTGATCAGCCTGTTCTCTCTCTCTCTCTCTCTCTCTCTCTCTCTCTCTCCCTCGTTTATTCATTCACTTTATAACCCTATCGCAGCCCTCTCCCTCCTTTCCACCAAGTTCCAATCTCCCACCCTCTTCCCCCATTCCCTCCTCCCCTTTTTCTCAGAGAAAAGAGCCCCCTACCCTTTGTGCCATTCTCCCTAGGCACTTCATGTCACATCAGAACTAAGCGCATCTTTTTCCACTGACAACAGACAAGGCAGGCCAGCTAGGGAAAAGAGTCTATGTCAGAGACAGCCCTGCTCCAGTTGCTAAGGGACCCACATGAAGACCAAGCTGCCCATCAGTTAGTTACATATGTGCAGGGAGCCTAGGTCCAGTCTACACATGCTCCGTGGTTAGTGCTTCAGTCTCTGCCAACCCCCATGAGCTTACGTTAGTTGACTCTGTTGGCCTTTTTGTGGGGTTCTTGTCCCCACAAACTCTTCCCCCAACTCTTCTACAAGATTTCCAGGTCTCCATCTAATGTTTGCCTGTGAGTCTCAGCATCTGTTTCCATCTGCTTCTGGGTAGAGGCTCTCAGAGGGCAGTTAGACAGTTAAGACAGACGACTTCTCCTGTCTGCAAACATAGCAAAGTATCAGCAATAGTGACAGCGGTTGTCAGCCTGTTTTCTCATTCAGCTCAGAATCATCTGTCCAGGAATGGCACTAACCACAGTGTAATAGTCAAAATAATGCCCTCACCAGTTTCTGTACAGCTCAATGTGATGGGGGTATTTTCTCTCCTCTGGTTGCCTCTTCTTAGGTCTCTCTAAGTTGTCTCAAGTAGACAAAAGAGAGAGAGAGAGAGAATACAAAATGAATCAAAAAATGTTCAAATAATGAATTCATCAAGCTAAGAGAACCCTTATATCATTCAGCCTCTCATTTTTTATAGAAAACCAAGAAAACTACAGAGTCTGTATTCAGTGCCATGAGTAGTAAATTCAACCGGTAGCTCTAGGGTCTCAGGGGTTGTAGCTCAGCACTTCATGCTCTTCTTCTTTTTTTTTTTTTTT